GTCTTGATCAAGTCCAAAAGCATCTACATGGCCTTGTGGATGATGAATTATTTTCCACTCTACAACCCCTTTCCCCTACAGATGAAATATTGCAAACCTCTTGCTACTCTAACATTATTTTCATGGAAAGTGTTCAGGTGAACTACATTCCTTAGTTCCACCAACTCTAACCTTCACAGCTAGGGCCCACCACACCATGTAGATGAGGCAAACCACCCTCATTACCTTTGTATTCCATTAGTGAAAAGTAAGTTACACTTGAACTGTTTCTTCCCATGAACCACTTCTTTGAGCAACTGACTCCCAAGTGGATGCTTTCCCAAGCACTACAATCTTAACCACTTCAAGTCTAAGATTAACAGTTATCTTTCCCACATATCCTCAGAAGCAGTGACTCTTACCACTCACTCTTACCTTTACACAAAAAACTCTTTTAATAACATACTACCTTGAGTGACTCTTGGGCCTTGTATACAGTGAACAGTATTAAATAAAAAAAATAAAAAGTTCCGGAATATAAAATTTTATATTTGCACTTTATCTGCTTTCTTTTCCTTTGTGGATGTGTCAAATATTTTGACAAGATCAAATCTTCACGCCATCAACCTTCAAGAATCATAAAATATTGTTGGGAAATACTTGTGAGTTTTACATCTTTCTGGTAGTTAAACTTTCAAACCCAAAACAAGAACACACTGTTTCCATTTCATCTTATGATTCATTCTATGCAATTTCAAACATGAATCCTTTTAATCTAATGCCCCTTTTCTCCTTGATAAGCTAATGAAAATATCCAAAGAAAATGTAACAATTGGGACATTGTGATAAACTTTTAAAGCTGCCCTTCAACAAAAAAAATACATGAAATACCCTCTCCAATTGAAGAGAAACCCAGAAGAGAGCAGCGACAGCCTGGTAAGGGTTGCAAAAGGAATCCTCCTCTTGCGACCTGCTCCAACTAGGTCGAGTAACAGAGCAGAAAAAAGAAATAATCCTTCAGCACGACAAATAACCAGTCACGTGTCGGCTGATAGAGAAAATAGGTCAATCAGAATACAGAGGAGGGTTTTTTTATAAGGAGGCTAACTGCTTCCCACAATCCTCCTCCGACCAAGACCATAAATATCAGTTGGTCATTTGGTTCCAGTTTAGCTGGACACAATTCCCCCCCGAGGCTCAAGCAACCCGTCCGTAAGTAACCCCTTCTCTCTTCCTCTTTCCTTTTCTTCACACATTCCCGACAGCAAAAACACAAAAAAGACGTGTAGAAAAGAAAGAGAAGAGAGAAAACAAAAAAAAAAAAAAAAAAAAAAAAAAAAACGGGTAACAATGTCTCCCCCTGACAGGCGAGTTGAGTTCTTATTTCTAAATGGCTAACTGATTGCCAATTAGGCGGGAAGCAGACTTGGTCTACCCCTGCGTCGTCTTTGGGGCGCACACTCAGGGCAGTACCACTTCTGCCTTTCAGGCGGCTCCTCGTCAATGCCAACACAACGAAAATGGAACCATTCATCACAAGAATCACACCCGATCATGTCCAGATTTCCCTGAGGAGAGTTGCACACAGGACACAACCAGACATGCTCCTCATCGTTGGCAGCAGAACATGATGGAACCTCGTCCCTCTCTGCAATCAAAGCACTCCCAGGGGGTGACACAGGACCACTAGTTGGTAACTCAGAAGAACGGTTAGCTGTCAGGAAAGTTCCAGTGGGTAGAGGTGTTTCAAAGAGTGTACCTCTTCGAGACCACCCCCCTTTCGGACACGAGCAGACCTGACCACACCATCATCACCGGGTATGAGATCTGTAATTGTCCCCAAGACCCAAAATGGTCGCGGTTTCAGAGGACTCTTAATCAGGACCACATCATCTTTCTGAAGCCGGTTCTCTGTCCGCAACCGTGTGCGTCCCGGGACCCTTCTTCCCAGCTCCAGAAGGTATTCCTTGTACCAGGACTCATGGAACCTTAATAAATACTGGTTCCTGATGTCCATTGCTTCCACGAGCCTTTTTCTACTGGCTGGTACTGCAGAAGCGATGTCATTTTTGTTCAATCGCAACAACAGCCCCGGACTCTTGTTGGGCCTAAGTAACATGTTGGGTGTGATAGCAGCAGCATTGTTATCAGCAGACAACTGATAGGTCAGAGGTCGGTTGTTGACCGATCTCTGAATATCAGAGACCACTGTCAAGAGGGTAAAATAATCCAGTTTACCTCTGCCAAGAATCTTAAAAAGGCAATCCTTCACCGTTTTAATGCAACGCTCCCATGTTCCCCCGTACCAAGGTGAAAACAGAGGGATGGTTTTTAGTTTTAACCCGCAAGAACCATACTTGCTTTTTATACTCCTGGAAGACAGAGAGGCGACTAAAAAGTCTTCCGCTTCCCAGAAAGGTTTTAGCATTGTCACTGTAGATTACTTCCGGAACTCCACTTTGGTTGGTGAAGCGAACCAGGGCTTGAAAGAAGGATAGCACACTCATGTCTGGAACCAACTCAATATGTATTGCTCTGATATTCAAGCACGTGAACAAGAGCAAGTACATCTTCTTGTCCTGCTTACCATCATTCACCCAGAAATGGCCGGTGAAATCAACGCCTGTATGCTGGTAAGGGACCTCAAATTCGACTCGATGAGTTGGTAAGCTGGCCGCAGCACTCGGCAGTACTGGTCGCGAATTGTATCGTTTGCATCTGGCACATGACTTTAGAACCTTGTTGACGGCCTGTCTTCCTTGAGGGACCCAGTAGCCGCTCCGCCTCAACTCAGCCAAAGTAGATCCAGTTCCAAGGTGACAACACTTTATATGACAATCCAAAATAATAAGTCTGGTCACAGGGTGGTGTTTCCCTATCAGGATAGGGTTCTTGATTTCATAGGTAAAATATGAAGATCGGTCGATTCTTCCTCTTGATCTGATTAACCCATCCGAGTCCAAAAAAAGATCCAGGGCACGAACTCTGACGGGTTCAGATCTTCCTGCTGGCTTCATTAAATACTCAACCTCTGAAGGGAATTCATGTCGTTGGAGAACTCTCATCAGGTAAATGGCTGCCTTAGATCTGTAATCCCACTCCCGTCCTAGCCGAATGGCTATGAACTTGAACACCAGTGAGGTAACTCTCAGTAACCCAGAAAATGTTGAGAACCTGTGAAAGGGTATGACGGAGAGGTATTCTTGGTTCAGAACCATAGAACAGTGCACTGAAGTACGGGCCATCTGCTGGCACGTCTCGCTTAAACAAGGCAAGTCTTGTGTCGGCCACTGGATGATTCCCTCACACAACCAAGAAGGACCAGAACACCAAAATTGGAAGTTGGAACGAAACTTCCTCAACGTCATTCCCTCGTGATCAGATCGGCCGGATTATGTGCAGAATCCACATATTTGAAGAGAGTCTTCAGGCCGTAACGGGATTCTAACCCAAGGTTCATTTGCAGGACGTCCTTGAGTCGGTTTCTAGCAAAAATGTTTTTGATGGCCATGGATTGAGACAAGAGCCAAGACAACACTACTTGGGCATCAGTAGCCACACATAAGTTACTTGGAACAAACCCTTCACAGTTGTCCAGGATTGTTGGTAGGCACTTGAAAGCGAGATAAACAGCCATTAACTCCAAAACAGGTAGAGTTTTGTCTTTCATCGGAGCGACCTTAGCCTTAGCAAACACCAAGGACGATCGATGATTTTGCACAATGTAAGCGGCAAATCCATATGCCTCCGTGGAAGCGTCGCAAAAGAGGTACATATCTCCAGGCTGTCTCGCATCGAGAACCTTTCGATAAAAATGGAAGTCACTCAGTCCAGACAGGTCCCCAGCAAGCTCCCTCCAATCACTTAAAACCGCAGTAGGGAGAGGATCATCCCAACCCAAACCATTCTTCCACATAGACCTAATAAGTATTCGGCTGCGAACCGTAACTGGGAGACAAAGAGATAAGGGGTCAAAAATTTTGGCTGACTCAGAAAGCACTCCCCTCTTTGTTGACGCATCGGGATCGCACCTGACGTGGCCCACGTGCATCTCTTCTGAAAGAGGGTTGTATCGGTAACCCAGTACCTTCTCCCATTCTTCATCATGTGCACTCAGTGTACCATCTTCTTTCATCCTGGCTCGGAGAGCCTCATCGTTGGAGTTGCAGGACTGAATAACAAAGCCGCCTTCCTGCAAACGTTCCCGTGCCAGGGAGTACAATTTCGCCAGCTTCACTGGATCTGCTTCCGATGTTACAAGGTTGTCCACATAAAATCTGTCCTCAATCATCCTGCGGCAAGCGTCCAGTGGGTATCTTGCTGCATGTAGTTTCAGGATACACCCCAGTACAAAGGGGCTTGAGGTGAACCCGAATATCAAGGTGGTATATCGAAAACAGCGAAGACGATCCCCATCCTTAAGGAAGAAACAAAACCGGTTTTTGTCAGTCTCCAACTTGAGATGAATCATCAAGAATGCCTTTCGAATGTCTGCTAGCAGAACGTAATTGTTAGTTCTGAAAGACAATAATAACTTCAACATATCTCCAGTTAGATTGACCCCAGAGTAAGCTGCCTCGTTCAGGGACAATCCACCACCAGTCTTCAGACTGCAATTGAACACAGGTCTGATTTTGGTAGTAGCTGTTGGGTCAGACCTGAAAACCGGTCGATGTGGAATCCACACATATTTATCAAATTCGTGTTGGGGAACAAAAAAATCTCTTCAATTATTCCATCCTGTTCTTGCTGACGGAACACCTCTAAGTATTCCAGATAAATATTCTTTTTAGTCAGGGTTGAAGCCACCCGGTCCAAGATGCGCAAAGAAACGGCGTGATTGGATGGGACCCGAGCCAACTTATCAGAATGCCAGGAAGCTCCACGTAATACTTCCCATCCTTGAGCTCCACAGTATCCTTAAAACGTCTCATCTGTTCTTGATCATAATCAGAGAAGGTATCCTCATCAGATATTCCTAGGGACTCCATGTCAAACATCCGTTCCAATCCTCTTTGTACTGCACTGTCAGGAAAAAACTCCGCCAAAGGGTCAAGGTAGGTTGGTTGGTTTTCAAGAACGAAGCACAAATGTGAGGAATTCACTTCGGGGGTATCCCCCATTACAGTATTAAAGGAGAGGTGGGCCACTTCACAAGGGATCTTGTCTCCTGACAAAAAGGAGTCCACAGTTCCAAAGGGAACCAGGCCTGACGGAACAGAAAATGCCCAACCCCTCAGACAGGGGACCAACTTCAATGTAATCAATCGATGAATAAGGTCCAATCCAATAATGCCCTTGATAAGCACAAGGTCTGACCCGGCCTCAAATTGGCCAGCCAAATTATAGTCAGCTGCCCTAAAAGCACCCAACAGGGTCTCCAAGTGAGCCAGTCGTACAGACAAGTCCATTGCATCAGTGACTAAAACAGAGGAAGCCAAAGCCTCACCAGAACCAAGGTCAACTCCCAGAACCACCTCCGTGAAATTCCGGTCACACTCACCAAGGAGGGTGAAAAGTCTAAGCCGACAACTGACTCCAACAGTCTCAACTGAACCCAAGTCCCTCAGTACATCAGCAGACAAGTACGAACGCCCACTACCAGTGTCCAAAAGGCAATTAACCGACACCATTTTTTCTCCATTGAAAAAGTGACCAATAGGATGGGGGGCAAGCTACGGGAATAACCAGCAGAACTCAGGTTGTTGGAATCCACATGAAAGGAAGAAGTAACAGTGGCCCTCCGTGCGGTTTTTTGAGAAGAACCCTGGCCAGTGGTGAATGTAGAAGCAGCAGACGCGCTTCCCTTAACCCGTAATCGTTTGACTGCCTCACTTGTAAGTTCCAATATGGCAGACAATGATGGTATTCGCTTACCTGTTAGTCCTATCATTTCTCCCTTCAATTCTTTGGGAAATTTCTGAAAAAGAATCTTGGCCATTAGGCGAGCTCCACCAGAATCGTCCACCGAAAAGTCGCAAGAAAAAAGAATTCCCTAGCTCCTCCAAGAGAGAGGCAGTCCTGGAGATAAATTCACCCAGACCAGAGCAGCAGATGTCCTTTTTAGGAACATAGTCTAGAATGTCTTGAAATATCTGGTCGATTATCTCATCAATGTCCAAATACTCCCTCTTTAACACCGAAAGAGCACGCTGATAGTTGGCATCCGTGCAACTCAAATGGTTAATCAGTCTTAAAGCTCTGTCGGAGAGGGAACATTTCAGAAAGTTTAATCTTTCAGAGTCATTGGCCATGCCAACCACACAGTTTTCGAATCTCGTCAAAAATTCCGGAAACTCATGTGGTCGTCAGCCATCTCAAGTCCGCTAAAGGTGGGCCCCGTTATTTGTATTTGCGGAGGTTTGACAACAAAGGAAGCCGAACTTCTTCCAGGTGTTGACGGAACCCCAAACGACTGGGAAACAGGATCCAAGCAGGAACTGGGAGAAAATGAACCATCCAGATCGCCCAGTTCTCGGTGGTACTCCATTAGTCGAGGCGCCCATTCAGCTTCGGTCTCAAGCAAGTCCGTCTCGGGAAGGAGCCCAGCTCTAATTTTGTGATACAAGTCTCCATTTCGAAGATGTATTGCAGAATATCCTTTCGGAAGACAGAGAAAAAACATGAGGCGTTACTCTGTCTCGACACAACTTCAGTCGTTCCTCGACTTTGATTTTAAGAACAGTCAACCTATGAAGGATCTGTTCTTTAGTAACATCCATTTTTTTTTTTTTGCCGTTAACAAAAAAACAAATGCCGTTAATTTGTCAAAAAAAAAACTTTCGACGCAAAAAAACAAATTTCTGTAGAAGGTCCTTTTGCAATTTGTCGGAAAAAAAAAAAATTCCTTCGACACAGTAAAGTAGGGAAAACCCAGAAGAGAGCAGCGACAGCCTGGTAAGGGTTGCAAAAGGAATCCTCCTCTTGCGACCTGCTCCAACTAGGTCGAGTAACAGAGCAGAAAAAAAAACAGATAATCCTTCAGCACGACAAATAACCAGTCACGTGTCGGCTGATAGAGAAAATAGGTCAATCAGAATACAGAGGAGGTTTTTTATAAGGAGGCTAACTGCTTCCCACAATCCTCCTCCGACCAAGAAAGAGCCATAAATATCAGTTGGTCATTTGGTTCCAGTTTAGCTGGACAAAGGAAATAAAACAGACAGAATTCCAGACACACTTATAGCATATTTCTGGGCAAGAGGAACAGATATTTTTTTCCAAGAGTATCACCTCTTATAAAGTCCTTTCTTTGTGAATATATACATTAGTAAATGGGGATATAACTACCAAATATTGGACACCTCGGCATGGTGTAATGGTTAGCAAGCTTGTCTTGCTAAAACAGTTACAACTGAATAGTGAGTTCAATCCTCACTAGGTGTCCCATACCTTCGACCTTGTGCCACTTCTAAGCTATGCTTAGAAAATCAATGTAACTATCAAATATTGCTCTTCTCCAAATAAATGACTAACATTGTATTTTATTCTAAAATTGTAAAGATAAGATTTTGACTAAAAAGTCAGACAGACCATACTGGTAGTGCATCTGCTATAATTGGAAATATTTTGTTTCTAAAAAATTGTAATATATAAAGTGTTACCTAAAAATGCAGAGAATTCAATTGTAGGAAAGAAAAAAAATAAGAAAGTTTGCAAGGTATGTACCTGTCCAAAGGATAAATGGTCAAATCACTGATGTGGTTGACTGACCAAATGGTCAAATTACTGAAGTGTTTATGCTGTCAAAAACAAACACTTGACCTGAATATGTATTCTGCTTTCATTGGACTACATTTGATACTGATGTATTATACTGACACATATCACAAGGTTAAAATATACTAGGAATAATAATACAGAAATATGAAATGTACATCTTTAGATATTGGTTAATCTATATTAGAATTTGCTCAAAATTTAAAAATTGTTTTTTTATTACTAATGGCACTTATATATTCCAATTAAATTTTTTAAAAAATTGCAAATAAATCAAAGTTATTTATGTCTTGCATGAAATGACTGAATGTTGCAACTGAATAATTTGCACTTAACCCACATAGACAGACACAAATTTTCCAAAAGTTAAAATCTTAGATTTCAGAAGTGATTCTGTCTCTCTTCTGGATACAAATTCAATGCTGTTTTCTTTTTCTTTTTTTTTTTTTTGCTTCTTCTTCATGTGTCATATCCAGTAGTGATTATGGCTCTCCATAATTTCCTGTCCATTGTAGCTCTTAGTCTGCTATCTATTTACACAAGATCATTAGATAGATGATACAGTTTTCTTCTGTCCCTCATCTTCAATATATCCTGTGAGTGTCAAATTTCTGAACCCTCTTTCTTCTTTATGTGCCCTAGAAATTTAAACTCTCTCTTTTTGATGTTAAGTAGAAGTTTCCATTTTCTATTTTATGTTTCCATTTTCTCTAAAACTTCATTGCTCACATGTTCATACCATGGAATTCTCAGCATCATTCTATAGAATCACATTTCTGTTGTCTCAAGTCGTTTCATCATCTATGAGGAGATTGTTCAGCATTCACTGGCATATAGGAGGACTGATATTATGTAACAGTTCAATAATCTTTTTTTTTTTTTTTGTTTCCAATGGAATTTTTTTTTGTTTCTTAATACTTTGCTTAGATTTTGAAATGCATCTTTCACTATTTCAGTGCACCTTCAGATTTTGGTGTCATACATTCTATCCTCTTTTAAAACACATCCTAAATATTCAATTTGTTGTACTAGCTTGATTTTAATATCATTAATACTCTTTCATTCTATTTCTGCACACTTTTTGTTGAGCCATTCCTCTTTAGCCCACCTGCATTTGTTCCTAATTTCTTTGTACAATGCCCTATAATTTGTATCATACCGTATTTCCTTTTCATGATGTTAAGAATTTCATATGTCATCTATTCCTGTTTTCTTTGGGATGATCTCAATTGCCGACATTACTAAAGCTTCACTTAATGTATCCTACTTTGAATTTCTATTCTCATTTTGGTCATTGTATCTTCTTTTAATACTGTCCATATATTTCTCCTTCAGATTTGGGTCATTCAGGAGTCTGTCATTTTGCAATTTTGGTGCTACCTTGACCTTCTCATAGTTTCACTCTAAGTTTACATATTGCAAAGTAGTCACTCTTGCAGTTGGCACTTTGGTATATTTTTGCTTGAAGATTGGTGTTGGTTCTCTGGGTGTTGACTGTCAGCCAAGAAGTGAATTGAGTATTTGTAAGGCCAAAATGTAAACAATGGGATTTTAAGTCAGTCATTTTAATAGTTATCAAGAAAAGGAAATTCTTTGACATCAGAGAAAATTGTTAATGAAAAAATGTTAAACAAATTTTGTTGTCAAGGAATGTATTGTTAGTGAATATCTGACTGCTTTGTTTGAGGGTTGGTGTTGTATCTCCAAGATCGGAGAAAATAATTGATGAATAATTAATGTTTTCAGGTGTGGTAAGAGTTGGGCAAAATACATATAAACCAAACACTTAGTTGAAGCCAGCAGCTGGAGCAAGAAATGAGATAAGACAGTGGTGCTGAAGGTGCTGCTGAACCCCATGTAACCTGCTGCCAAGAGAATTCTCAACCGACCTATTTCCTTGTGTATGTTTTTAACCCCTCCAAGTTTTAGAAGCAAGAGACAGTGTCATGATAGAGAGTTTAACGGGAAGGTTTAATTTTGTTATATAATGACTATATAAACCAATTGAAAATTAATCTAGCAACTTTCTTTGTTATTTGTTATGTTATTTGTATTTTCACCAGCAGAAGTGTTCTTAGTTGGTTCTGGCACAGCTCAGTTCAATATGGATGAAAATTTGATCTTCACTGCTCTGTAATCAAAAATCACAATGAGGGGCCAAACAGATGAAGGAAAAAAGTGGTCAGCAGATAACCATCAATTGACCAGTGGTAGTAGTGACCAGTATGGGAAGAATCATTGATTGAGCTGGGCCAGCCATGTTATAATTTATTTTAACCAATATTAAGTATTTTCCATAAATTCTAATCCAATTCTTTTAGCAGAAGTGATAAAGAAGAATAGCAGAGAATGATGAAATTCTTTTTTTCTGACTTAAAACTAAGTCAAACCATAGTTCAAAATTTGTGCTTCTTATCAAATTTGACTGAAAAGGTTCATCATTTAAGACTTAACTATATTATGATTTAACATGTTCCATTCTTGAAAATGTCTTACACAAATTTATCATTCTAAATGCTGAAATTGTTAGGCAAAACATTTTAGAGCCAAATATCCTTTGTCTGAGAAGCATTTGTAAAAATCGGTTAACTTTCTCTCTTTCAGCAAGTTGGTGTGTAACACCATATATTCTCCCCACTGTACCCACACACTCCACAAGACTGGCCATTGGTCCGGTATGGTCCAGTATTACAGGTTAGACAAAAGTCTCCAGTTCCCAATGCCAATTCAAAGTCACACTCCAGCCACGTTGTGATTGTTTTGATACTGGAGAGCAGTCATGAGATCATAGAAATCCAGAAGCTCTCCGTTGGTCCACCTGTGAATTTGTTGGGTGAGAATTGGGTTAACAGAAAAATAAATATAATTGAGTCGATTTGATTTTGAAAAGACAAAAGTTTGTTTTTTTTTATATATAAAAGTAAACAAACACACAAAAAAATTCTTGTTGTTGCACAAGATTGAATGTTTCTTGTATGTGATCAATAACCAAACAAACACAAATACTTCAAATAATATCGGTAAAGGAGAAATGTGGCCTTCATTTTAACCCTTTTCGGTCTGTTCTTAGCACAACTATTATAACTTTGATGTTCCCGTTCTCAGTAGTAGTAATAGTATTAGTAGTAGCAGGAATAGCAGTACTTAGATGTTAGTGGCAGTATTTCCCTTCTTCGACCTCAGCTTCAGCAACACACAGCAGACACTTCCTTTTCAGTCTCT